TTGCAACTAGAGTCCTAGAAAACTTAAATTAACAAAGCAAAACTAAAAAAAAAAAATGAAAAAATTGCTAAAAAGGTCCAAGCTGCTCGTCGGGTGGTCGCAGCGCGATGACTGGCACCTCTCCAGTATCTATTGGCACGCAACGGGAGCTGCGGGGCGAGGCATCGCACGTCGGCGCGGTGGGTTGCTGCGTACGTCGAGCGGGCTGCACAACATGTGGTTGCGCGATGGATGAGCCGAGCAACACGTCCTTCTTTCGTCCTTGTGCGCTCGTACTCGGCTCGTATCATTTATGTCCCCTTCAAGTATATCGTTGTCCTCAAGAATAAAATTGAAAAGTTGGTTGCGGATTTCTTTAACGTTCTCCTCATGAGAGTTGCTCGTTTTCTCTCGGATAATAAGGACCTTAGGTTTAGCAGCCTTCTGTGAAAAATATGAGATGAAACGCCTATACCTTCCCCCGTGAGTGGCCACAAGTTCCACCAAAGAACGAGAATAAAGATTGTCGTTCGTAATCGGCTTGATGCAACAATCAACAATATATGCTTTGATCAAGGCCATCGACCCAACTGAGATATCGCTGGAATTAATAAAAGCAATGCAAGATATTCAAGCACGGGACAACCAACACAAGACATTCAAGCCTTTGTTCCGTCAACTATAAGGAGTTCAAGGTCTCCGAGTCTTTGGTTTTCCACAAATGTCGTTGGCCTCTCAGTTATTGTGATATGCGGCAAAACATTTTCTATTAATTCAAATTTTTGGGTGAATTTTGTGCCCTAAAAATCTTCTCTTTGTCAGGATTTTCTATTGATAGTAACATTTCCAACTCCAACTCGAATTGAGCCGTTCGGGTGCTCATTGAGTTCAGTTGTTGATCTTCATTCACAATTTATGAGGATGCTTCAAGTTGTGAGCTCTCCAGAAGTAGCATCATCATCCGTAATCGCCACATTTATTCGTTTCATGGTCTCATCATAAAAAAGAGACAGACCCTCATACTTAGTTAACCCCTGCTTATCCAGAAACTCAGCGGTTTCTAGGCCTCATCAAAACTCAAGGATCTTAAACAGGAACGCTGACGCCTAACGTCGATCATCGGCGAACAATACCTCGTCCCGCTGGTTCGACCCCCTAGACCGGTTATCTTCGCCATATGCAAATTTACTCTGAATTTTCGGCCCTTTCTCGGATTCTGTGGATCCATCTAGTGACAAATCTAAATCGGCCCTTTGTGTGCGTCTGGCGATCCTTTGGAGCACATCCTTCGATCCGCGTAATGACTCAGTTGGTTGATTGTACGTCCTTATTAATGGAACATACGCTCTCTTCCAATCGATCAATTTGTTCTCTATTTGACATGATGATACACTATTGATTCTCTCAACGAATGTATCAATGATGAAGATCGTGTACCGGTTGATACAAATTTGTAAAACTCGTACTAATAGTCGTCGGTTAACACAATATTTGTTCTCGAACATGAGCGTTTTTTAGATTTCTTACTGCTTAGGTTATAAAAAAGTGAATATTACAAGAATTTTAAAGAAAGAAAAATACCAGGTCCGCAACTAGAGCCCTATAAAATATAATATAACAAATTAAAAAAAAAACTGCTAAAAAGGGACATGTTGTTCGAAGGGTGTTCGCGACGCGAGGCCTGGCGGTCTCTGTTGGCCCGCGAAGAGGGTCGTGGCGCGAGACATCGCCCGACGGCGTGATGGGCTGCTGCAGTAGTCGTTGTGGACGTCGCGTCGGCTGCGTGGTCAATGGCAGCTCGATGGATGAGCGTGGAGCGAGTCTGTCCTTCGTCCTCGTGCGCTTGTGCCTGGTTCGCATTAAAGATTCTCCACATCTTTCTCATTCAGGCTATGTTTGGTTCAACTTAGGGGAGGGGAGGGAAGGGATTTTAATGGAAGGAAGGGAAGGGGAGGAGAGGTGATGTAAAATAATTTTACTTTGTTTGAAGGGATTTTGTAAAAGGAGAATGAATGGAAAATGGTAAACCTTGTTTGGTTAAACATGGAGGAAAGTTCGGTTAACCGAGTCGAACCGACCGAAACCGAAAATTCGGTTTGGACCAAAAAAAGAACCGATTATTTGCTTCGGTTTTCGGTTTACATTTTTCTAAAATTTTAGTTTTTGGTTCAGTTTTCAATAATTATGATCGGTTAACCGAACTGAACCGAAAACCGTTTTATATACATATTTTTTATTTATACATATAAGTTGTAAAAGCATTAATTTGTTTCAATGATTGATGATTTTCAAGCTTCATTATTGACCCCTAAAATTGCTCAAACATTAATTGTACTAAAAATTGGTTTCGTCATTGCCCAAGTCACGTTTCGGGTCCGAACTCTTCCTTTGAGGAGAATTTAAAATTTATTGTGAATTAAACAATGTGATAATTTTATTTTTTTTGTTGGATAAAACATCAATTTTTTTTTTCTGTTAAAAATTCAAAATTCATTAATAATATTAATTATTTATTGCGATTAACCGAAAACCGAACCGAACCGACCGTTGGATTTTTGGTTAAAAATCGAACGGAACCGTAAATTTCAGTTCGGATTTTGGTTAAGATAATCAAACTGAGGGCATGATTGTTTATCAAATATTTCATCCAAAATATTTTATATTGGTTAACTATGGTTAAAGTTGAAAAAGTAGTGTGGTTAATTATTAGTGGGATTTAAAAAAATTATTAAAATAATATTTAAAATAAAATGATTAAAATTGATTTGATATAAAGTAGGAGATAAATGATTGGAAATGATTGGTAGTTAAAATTATGTGAGTGGATGAATAGTTAATTAAAGTTGATGTGATGTGTAAGAATGATTAGTTTGTATTATTTAATTATATAATAATATTAAAGATAGTGGGATTGAGTTAAAGTTGAATTAGATATTTGAGTTAAAATATTTTGGATGAAATATTTGATAAACAATCATGCCCTGAATTTTCAGTTAATCGGAAATGTTCGGTTTTAACCGAATGAGCAGCCCTAATGGAGGGGAAAGAAAATATTGTAGAAATAACAGTTATACCCTTAATGATGTAAGAAACAAAAAATTAAAATAATTCATATATTAAGGATAAAAAAGTAATTTTACACTTCCCTCCCCTCCAAATTTTCTCACTTTATGAGGGGAGCAAAATTGGGGGAGGGGATGGATTTTGGCTTAAAATTTCTCTTTCCCTCCCTTCGTAATTTACAACCAAACAATGGAAAAATAAAAAATCTCCTCTCCTCACTCCCATCCTCTCCCCTCCAAATCTCTTAAACCAAACACTACCTTAAGATCGTGCATATTTTTTCCGCATTATTTACTAAAACAGTAATTTCATTATTGCGTATTCTAGCAAACTACCCACAACTTGTCTTTATGTCGTACTTTCAGAATCTTTTACATGTTAGCATTTCAATCGGACACATTCAATTTCAAATATCGGTTTATTAATTTCACGTATCGTTCTACAAGGAAACGAAGGTGATGATATAATTTTAAAAAATGTCCGAATATCGTGATTTAAATGAAAATTCGATTAAGTTTGTGATATTAAGTGCAATTTCTACTACTTTTAAATTCATGGCATTACTAATTAGTAATGTTACTCTCTCATTCATATGCATATGAATCCTATTATTAAATGATTCAAGGGGGAGAATGTAACGTTAACTAATAATAAAGAAGGAATTTTAATTAAATACCCAAATGTTTTTTTT